CTCACTACATATGTTACCGAATTGTGAACAGACAGCGCAGTTGTTCGCACATTTTTCTTCACACGTTTGACCACGGTAACCGGAAACGCAGCCATGACACCTCGAACCGTAAAGTCCTCGACGGACATGTGCTGTTAACACAGTTCCTGCAAATGTTGGTGGAACACGTAATGCCAGTCCAACCAGGTTTACATCCTGTTCTACATCTCGCCGTTAAGATGGTCACAGGCTCTGTCAAGAAAGACAACCAAAACATTCCTGACTACATCGTTCTGTATACCATCCCGACTGGCACTGACAGCTGCCATGCCACCGATGACACGAGTTTTGAAAACAGCCACCTCCACATTTCCTAGTGCAGTATGGTCCTGTAACCAACCCTGCTTACAACCATCCAAGCAAATACCGGTATTGAAGTCACACTTATTTATATAATGCGCATGACATGACTTTGTTGCACTTGTCACCATAGAAACCAGGATAGCAGCCTCTGAGGCACACCTCGTCGCGCTGCAGTAACCCCATTGACAGTTTGACATATTGTTTGGGTGTCAGTTTCATTTCGGTCCGTTCCAACTTTCCTTACATCCATGTACAGAAGCCCAAAGTTGTTGTCGCAGACATCATATATTCGCAGTGGTTCTCCAGTGGGCAGGCAAGATATAGTCAGTCCAACAGCTGAAAACGGACATTACAATATTTATGCATTAGGCCTTATGATTACTTTGAAAATATATTTTCTTTTATATTTATTTTTTTCATTTACTGTGGATTTAGACATAGGATAAGAACATGTTTCCCATGTGTTGGAAATGCTTGTTGGGATCTCTTACATCCAGTCAATTAACCAGACACAGTCACATGAAATCGATAGACCAACTCTGATGATTTGTCTCATAATTTTGGACATCCGAATAAAAATGTTGTTTAACAAACGATCATTATTTTGTTGTCACTTTTCGCTATTTCTTACGAGGGAGGACCACTTGCTGGTAGAACAGCCAAGTAATCAACAAGCGTGTGTGCAGTGAAATTTCACTTCATACGCACAACTCGCACACCCGTCGAGTTCATGTTACTGCAAAATTTCAGCTTTGTTGCATTTATTAGATTTTGTGTTAGTGAGCAATTCATCGGTCTCAATTGAAGTCAAACGGACTAAAACTGGACGTTTACGGCTATGGAATAATGTCCGTGTTATACGTATAGCCTCGAAAAAGAGGAAGGATACTTTATAATTCAGAAATACATGCCCAATGTCCTGCACACACATATACTCTACAGTAGAACAGAATCCCACATAACATGGGGACACCTGTTATCAGCTTCTGGGGACGGGCTGAGTAGCCTCGTGGTTAAAGCGTTTGCTCGTCACTCCGAAGATCCGGGTTCGATTTCTCACATAGGTACAATAATGTGAAACCCATTTCTGATGTGTGTCTCGCCGTGATATCGCTGGTTATTGTCGAAAGCGGCGTAAAACCCAACTCACTCACTATCATCTTTCGGTTTGGAAACACTGATTCCAATATCTTCTGACACTGTTTCCCTTCACGTATGTTTAGGTAAACAGGCATTCCTAACTTGTATTGATCTCAGTAATAGAGTTGGAGAACATTTGCATGTTAATTGATATTTCAGTAATACCTCATAACAAGGGTACGCCATTACTGATTTGGCCAAGCCTCCAACAATTGAACTGAGCCTACCCGTATAAAGTTTAACACAAGTTACTTTACCAAGTAGTGTCAATAGCAAGTGAACGTTCTCCATCACTGTCGTGGGTGTTATTCGTTAAACTATAACAAATAGCGTCCGGGTGGTGTGAAACGCGACGAGTTATAAAAACCTGTTCTGTCGTATGATTATGACTCACTGGTCCGGGAAATACCTGTATTTGTAGTTTCGTGTTCCTCATGGGCATGAATAGTGCATATTTGACTGTCGGTATAAGCTGCATACCTGAGTGTTGATCATGTTGTGAAAATGTGGACCTCGTCCAGTCTGAGGCTAGCTTTATATAATCTACCGCAGTTTCATCTCCTCCTTATCACAAACGCTTGAGGTCAGTTCTACCTACAGTGAGTGAGTGAGTTTAGTTTCACGCCGCTCTTAACAATATTCCAGCAATATCACGGCGGGGACACCAGAAATGGGCTTCACTCACTATATCCATATGGGGAATCGAACCCTGGTTTCGGGTGACGAGCGGACGCTTTTAACCACTAGGCTATCCAAACGCACCAGTTCTACCTGTTGAGTTACCTTTCTAGTCCATTATATCATCTGGAAGCTTAATTCAGATGTAGAAAAATTTTGTTTACATATAGAGACTTGGAGATAACCTAACACACCTTGTGAGGAAAGATAATGACGGGGATTGTATGTTTTGTAAATGGAGGTTACTGTTTTACAAGAACTGTTTTATCACACTCTTATGTACAAAATTTAGTAAAGATAAAAATTTATCACATTTATAATAACACAAAATGAGCATGTCTCAAAACAAGTCTATGCTATTTTCTGAAATGTGTAAATAAACATAGAAACCCATTGTAAATCGGACCCATGAAGATCCGGGTTAGAATTGATCTTCAGTAACCTATGCTTGTCGAAAAAGCGACAACGGATCGGGTGGTCAGGCTCGCTGACTTGCTCGTTGACAATACGTCATCGTATCCGAATTGCGTAAATCGAGTGCGGCGTAAAACTAAACTCACTCACTCACCCCATTGTAAATCGTGAGTAGTTTTACGTGCGCTTCAACCAGTTATTTTGGTAATGCAGTATGTCTTATGGTTCCGCGCGCTTCTGAGACATCTGCTGAAGTGTGTTGATGCAACCGATCACAAAGGCCGTTAACGTGCCAAAGGAAGGAGCAAAACTCCCATTGTCTAAGCCATTGAACCTGATCGCCCACAGTGGAGTCCTGGTGCATGTATTTAGTCGACTCTTACCACAAACATAAGGTTAGGTGCTTACACCTGCGCCTTGCCCAGCATAAACTGGGTTAATGGGCAATGACAGGGCCCAGGGCCAACGCCCTAACACCAGTCAGCCAGATCTCGTCTTGTGAACACCCGATCCGTGATGTACTGGATCAATTAAACTTATTACGAATATGTCTAAATCCATTTAGACACAGGTGTTTCGCCAGGCCATGCTGGTCAGCGGGCATGTATGAAATTCTGTCAGGGACATGCTCGCCTCGATCTCATGAAATCAACTAGATGTAAGGATGCGAGAATACAAGAATCCCTTACAGTATTCCATGGGCTATTTATTACGTCTTCAGCACTTAATTATTTGTAAATACGTAAATGAATGAACACAACGTGTATGAAATTAATTTTATTATGAGAAATGAAAGGTTTCAAGAAAAACACGCGTACGGAGGCCGTAGATACATTGGTAAATATATATATATATTAATTTTGTTTGCATTAAATTTTCAATTCCAAAATATAGAATTGTTGTTAAATAAGGTATTAACAGAGACGCTGAAATACTGTAAAACAAAAGCAAAAGAAAAATATATAATATAATCTGATATTTATCAAATGTATACAGAATATTCAGTGAGAATGTTTAAAACATTATACTATACAATCATATATTATTTTATGCAAGTGCACTGCACTGCTTTATAAGTAAAGGTATGTCTGTAACCATGGATACTTTTCAAACTACCAGATATTACACTTCTGTTAGGTATAGGTAGGGTACAAATAGAATTTATGTGACAGATATTTACTTCTCAAATGGTGATGGCGGCTAACGCATCATTAAAGTTCATGACGTTCATCTTCTATTTGACATTGATCACGCGTCAAAGGCAATGCTTTATATTCAGTTTTTGCGTCTGAAGGTCTTAATTCGAAATTCGTACTTGGACAACAGCGTTCCATCCCACAACTGGTGCACCGACAGGTGTTACTGTTAGCTGCAAGGACAGTACTAGTACAGAGACAGACGGTGAGTTCTGCGATGCAATAATAAGATCAGAAGAGTGCCCCAGCGGGGAGCACAACCCTTCTGACACTCTGGGTAATGCAGAAGGTTGCATAGACTAACGCTTAGTCTCTGAATATATATAATTTTGATAGTAATTAGCAAACCTATTTAAATTGGCCGGGTGTAAAAACCTTGGAGTCAACTTTGTATGCAGACTCTTTCAGTGTTGTCACACCTCCTAGTGTACAGTACACACCCCTGTGCCCACGAATTCGTTGGTATATGACCAGATGGTGGCCACATGAATACGTACAAACACCTAGTTGTGGGAACAGCAATGTGCAGTAAACTTGGACAAAGTACTGTGGCTATGTGTCCCAGTCCACCAGCTGAGAATGGGTACCTTCTAAGGGCGAGAAAGTCGCAATAACTCGGTGCGCCTTGTGGCAGCAAGAGTTGTATACTCTCCAAGAAGTTGAGATTGATAATAAGATGGGCCGTTGAGATTGACATCCAATGATCGAGGAAAATATACCAGCGCCTTGAGCATGAACCAGCGCGTGGATATGTGCGCTGTATAAATATCCAATAATAATAAAATTGAAAAGGAGCCCAAGACAGACCAGAGATTCAGAATCTGAGGAAATCTAGACATGCTTCATTTAGGACTTTAGCACTGCAGAGAGGGCTAGGCAGTAGGAAAAATAATGTGGTTCAGGGATCGTGAGACAGACTCAAAGTCTGCAGTGTTGGGGAGTCTACATGTTCTCCGGAAAGTTCTTGGTGGGTTCGACAAGGCAGTGATTCCTGGGAGAAGTCCCATTCGCTGTCTGGGCTGCGTGTAGTAGGAAGGCAAGGGCCCTGAGCTCATGATGAACCTTACCAGCCTGACTGTGCCAGGATCAACCGAACCCTCTCTGCTGTCTGCATTTTTCATCTTAATCTGTAAAACACAACAATAAAGCATTTCTATAGTGTCTTAACTCCATCAGTAAATGATGCTCAGTGGCGCTGTACTAAGTAAACATCATGTTGTATAAACAGAAATACAAGAAGATAGTTTAGGTATGCTTGAAGAAAGAGATATGTTTTTAGAGCTGATTTGAAGTTTGTTGTTGCCATTAGTTATCTTAGAGATAGGGGAAGACTGTTCCAGAGGTTGGGAGCTGCAGAAGAGAAAGCTCTGTCACCATGCTTATTTTGCTGAGTGGAGTTAATAGGAGGAACTGGTCAACAGAACGAAAATATCGGAAGGGTTTGTGAAGTGTAATGAGGTCTTTGAAATAGAGTCACATGTCGTTCTCATAGATGCAGTTGTGAGTCAGAAGAATATTATGTATTCAATGCGTTGTTTGATGGGTAACCAGTGGAGGGATCTCAGGGTTGAAGATAGGTTGTCAGAGCATCTAGAACGAGTAATGAGGCGTTGCAACGTTTTGAATTCGCTGAAGTTACCCTAAGATGACGACTGTGGGATACCGTTGGAATTTCGAGTTAGGTTTTGATTTGACGAGATACGGAACTTGGAACGTTGGGAGATTACTACATTCGTGACCAACTCGTGTTATTCCGAGACAAGGTCGGGGAATGACGATGTGTTGGTGGTGATTTTTAGTCGGACTAGTTTCCGCCCGGGGTTGTGGATGTGGCCGTAGTGACATTGGACGTCGTGGCGTTGGACGACAGGAAGAGTATCGGAAGTGGACCCACAGACACTCTCTGGACACACTGGCAGCCGGGGTCACACTTCATCCCTACGGTCTTGTAATACAGAGTCTTGTAGGTCTTGTAGATGTAGTACTGAAGACTGGAATATAACGCAGAGAGAGAGAGAGTTAAAGGTCTTGCATAAGATCATATGGTCATTTGTTAGAGGAAACTAGACACAAACTATGGCTAACACTGGTACCTTCTGTATTTTACTGTAAGACCGAAAATTTTAATAAATCGTAATAACGTTGTGAAGTATGACTGGATAATGAACATTAACAGAATGTAATATGGTATATGAAGGGTTACTGTAGCAACAATTGGCACTGATGAGAGAAATCGACATAAGTGGGAATAAATAATAAAGGCAAAAGGCTAACACTAAGACATGACGGACAGAAAACCCGGAGTGAGGAAGCTACTTTTGACACGATTAAAGTAATGAGTTTAGCAATAACTAAGCAATGAATAGTAGAAATTATAAGAAAATTGATAAGTTGTTTCCATATATTGTATCAAATCCCTAATCCGTCAGCGTCAGCGTCAAAAAACCATTGCTTATGGGTCGCTTAGCCCCCAAAACTAGCGAAGCGTTACCTTCAGCAGACTCCAGAATCCAGAATGTCAAAAGTGGCAGAACCGTTAGCAAAGTAAACGCTACAGTATTTATTTGAAATGGAGAGAAAATGCTCAGGTTGATCGGGACCTTACTGAAGGTATCGCACATTTATCAAACCCTACCCCTAGTCCTGAGTAAAACTTTGACCCATAAAACTTTTACCCTTGATCGGGTGTAAAACCTAACCCCTTGTTCCTATTAAAACCTTACTCCTCGACCTGGTGTGAAACCTTATCCCTTGATCGGTGTAAAACCTAACCCCTCCACTTGGTGTAAAACCTTACCCCTTGACCCGCGTAAAACCTTACCCCATAATCGGTGCAGGACCACGCACCTTTAACCCGGTGTCTTAGTCATACGAACTGAAAATGTTCTAAGCAGGTCTTACATACATGACTATACATTCCATATATCCATACAGCTGGTTTATTGATGAGTGTGGCGTTTAACAAACAAACACCCCCAAAACAACAAATAACACACGTACAAACAAACAAAACAAACAAACAAAACAAAAAAACCCCCAAAACAACAACAACAAACAAACAAACAAAACAACAACAACACAAAAACACACAACAAAACCCACAATACAACATTACTTCCATACAGGGATGCAGGTTAGTTGATTCACTGGATCTTCAGTAACCCATGCTTGTCGTAAGAGGCGACTAATTGGTCAGGCTCGATGACTTGGTTGACACATGTCATCGCACTCAATTGCGTAGATCGATGCTCATGCTGTTGATCTGACTCCTCGATTATTTACAGACCACCGCCATGTAGCTGGAATTTTCCGGAGAGCGGTGTAACACTCAACCTCACTCACCACATATTGAAATTCAGTCAGCACAAATAGCCTTTCAGTCCTTGGATGCAGCAAGTTGTCAATTGTCAACCCTCAAACTTGTCTGTTTCTCACTGGAAATATTTCAGAACTTTCCTCCGTTAGAAATATACTTCATATCTTCATACTGGTTTACATCAAATAATTGATTGTAAACACAGAAGTATACTGAATAACTTGAAGTGTGCTCGATGTTGCAATGCACGTATTGAATGCAAAGGTCAGAAGAGCTTACTCCTCGCGCTTACCGGTATTTTTTGTGCAAGAGCCCCACCCCAGGAAACCACAAGATACGTAGTAGCTACTGGATCGGCTCCTCAGCTGGGTGTAGTTCAGCATGTGTCTTTGCTGTGATAAAATGAGATTATTTAATGCAAGAATGCTATTATTTTAAAGATGTTTGCAATTGTTTGACATCAATGTCATTTTTACTTTGACAACTAATTTGATTTTATTTTATGCACAGAATGACCGTCAATAATTCAATTTATTTCAATACGCCAAGCTTTTCACTGTATATTGTTTTAGCTTTAAAAGTACAAATGCTGCGGACAGTAATAAAGAGCATATTTTTCTCTTACAGATACGATTGAGTATTTAAATATACCTTATTGTTCCTACGAAGGATTCTTCGCATCCTCTACAGCATTCCACCTCACAGTCAGAGAGGACCTAGAATGTCCAACACTCGGTTGGTAGTCCATGATGACAAGATATTTAAACAATAAAACAATATTCAACAATACAATATAAAAGTTCTTACTCATATCAAATATTGATTTAAAAGCATACGATTTCAATAAAAGTCAGTTAAAACTCATTTATGTCTTGATATGCACCTCGAAGGAAGTTAAAGAAGCCCAATCGATTCTTTCATGATCTCTGACAGATTAAGAATGGAAGAATGAAAGAATCATTAGTTATTGGTGTGTGTATAACTCATGTTATATTTGGGATTATACTTTCTCAGTAAAAGTACAGATTCTAGTACCTTTGTTTGGTTCAGGTCCCATCCAGCATTTTAACAGACACTCTCGGAGTCAGGCACTCAATCGCCAGCACACAAAACCATCTAACCTACTGGAAGCCAGCTACTATCTTGGCCACAAACACACAACTGAGCCAGCCTCATACCACGGACTTTGAGTACCCCTCTGATGAGTGTAAATTGACACGGCTCCAACGACCGAAAACCATGACAACGCAATGCCCGGATTAGGTCTCTTGGCGATTAAGTGCCGGACTCTGAGAGTGTGGGGTTCCCGGACGGGACTCAACCCAACCAAAGACCTAGAATCTGTACTTGCTGAGAAAGTATAATCCCAAATATAACGCGTTACATTTGAATCGTGTATTCGTGGTATATATAATTAAACTATAAGTATTATTGTGTGTGTCCAATATATGTGTTTGAGACAATTACATTAAAACATTTATATATTGTGCTCACCTGAAGTAGCTGTTTCAGCTAAAATGCAAAGCAGGAGTACGACAAGGATATGTTTTCCTTCCACCCTCATTATGATGAAATGATGAGCGTTGTTTGCTGCAGTGTCGCAATATGTGTCCGTGGGTGTCTCCCATTTAGCTCATATATAGTGTCCAGGGTTCTGGGCAGTCCTCTCGATGGCTGAGAGCAACAAGGAAGCGGGAAAGCACCGCCAGGTGCAGCAGCTCCATGATTGGTTTGAACTGCAGACATTCAGTATGCATATGCGACAGCGATGCTTCGTTGCACTTTGGATTTTCCAACCATATATGGCCTTTCGTATTGATAACGCTAAATATATCTGCGTTTTCAATCTTTGTTTTCATGTCGTAAGCAGATGTGGTGGCTTCTCTGGAAAGTGTCATGTGTAATTTAATCAAGTTTTTATCGATACTGAGGATCGGGTGGCAAGCGTGTCTCGACATATGCCCTCAGTAGTGGTTTATGTTTATTACTCAAATATTTTGAATTAGTTTCTGTTGCTCGTTCTATTTAAGTGTTTAGATTTCTTGGGATATCCGACACCACTTTGTGATGCGGATAAGCAATGTTAGGCAGGCATAGTTAACATTTCATCAGCTCCTATATATATCTTAGTAGTACGCATAGTCAAGTAGCATAGTTATTTCCCCTTGTCAAGTCCGCGTTAGCGTAAACCAAAAACGTAAATGCAAGACATATGGGTTGGGGTTCGAATTCGGAATTCTGTCAGATAATGATCAGACCGCAATATAGATCTTGGTTATCCTCCCTCTTTAAGCTGATAGTACTGACATTTTCCAAACACACGTGAAGAGAAATAAACGCCCTTAAAATATCATCAAGCACAAATATACGCAGATGCATTAATGTCAAAATTGTTACCTTTGAAAGCATGGTATAAATGAAGTACGGTGAGTTTTGATATTCTCAAGAACACCCCATCCTTCTTCCCTAACCTTAAAAATAAGGTGATATGATCGCTTATGTGTTTCAGTTATCATTTCTTCCCTTTAAAGCCGGTTTCCGTTTTTTACACAAAGCTTCTGCGATATACACATGATTGAAAAAACCAAAATGGCTTTGTTTTTGTCTAATTTTTAACGTCAACATCTAGAGTGTGTAAGTGAGTTTCGTTTTATGCAGCTTTTTTATGCATTTATGTATTTTTGTATAGTCCAGCAATATTACCGCGTGGGACACCAGAAATGGGTTTCACACATTGTACCCATGTACGATAGGTCTTCGTCGTGACGAGCGAACACTTTAACCATTGGGCTACACCTTTATATACCTAGAACAATTTCAAAGATGTAATATGCCCCAACACAGGATAATCATATTTTAGTTTCGATTTAATTATCATACATGAAAACAGAAAGAAAAATCACACAGAATAATGTTCTGATTTCATGCTGTAAGACTTGCACTCGAACTGACAAGAATCCGGCTAGTTGTTCCATTTATGTTTGTATGACATGACATTATACAGGTTGAGTTGAGACTTCGTTGCAAACATATATAAGGTGGTAGGTTTTTCCAGATAACTGAATCAATACACGTGTCAGCGGGAGTCGTGATAGACTTTATGGATAGCAGGTAATGCTATATAACGTCCTGGTTATTACAAAAGAATTAAAAACTGCTCTGATTTTCTTTTCTTTAGAGACTAATATGATATGACAAACAAACACGTCTATCTATACGATCCCAAAAAAGAAACGCATAGGCATTTTGTATTTTTAAAAATCTATTAATTACCTATTGTTTTCAAACAATCGTCAAAATATGTAACAAAAGTGTTGATAACATGATTTTTACACAATTGTACAAGTGAAAAATCGACTTTAGCTGAAACTGTTAATTTTGATGAGATTTCTTACAAGGATTAAAAAGGCATCGCCACAACGCAACAGAAATCACCTTCCAGTTGAAATTGTGCAGCAAAGAGCATGCACTGTCTGGCTATAAAAATCCAGATTACTTTCGGAAATCGACATTCGCTTTGAAGAAGTTTCAAGGTCAAATCAGTACGCCATGTCTTGACGCTGCGACATCGCCATTGAAAGAATGCACGCTGGAGATTATCAATCTTCTGTTGCCAGCCGTCTGAATGTTAGTCTGAGCTCGATATCACGGCCTGCAGCTCGTTACAACCAAACAGGTACAGCAAATGACCATTCCCGTACAGGCAGACCTAGATTCACCAAAGCAGCCCAAGATCGGTACATCCGGGTACTACATTTGCGTGATCGTACTGTCACGGGTGAGAGCACAGCAGCCAGGGTGCCTGGACTTCGGAGGATATCTGGTCAAAGGGTACGGAACAGGTTGAGAGAGACTGGACTGAGAGCCAGGAGACCCGACGTCGGGACCGTCGCCGCCATCGCGGTCAGCGTCTCCGTTAACTAAAATTATCCACTTGGTTGTATAGACATTACCTTCTTCTAAACTGATGTACAAATTCATGTACTAAACTCTATTTGTGGACGAGTTATACATGTTTAAAAATACAACATTTTCGCAATAGATTCCTGGGTTATGCGTTTCTTTTTTGAATAGTATATTTGTTGTCGCCTTGCCAATGCCTACAGCTTCGGAATACACACTGCTCCACGGGTTTGTTGTTATTTCTATAAAACTAAAAACAGTCATAAAACTATGCAGCCATTTAGATAAGCCAGTACTTTTTAGATAAGTGTCAGACAAATATATAAACTATCAATACCAGAGAAGAACCAATCTCGATCATTTGCTAAAACAGATTCCATTGGGTGTAAGTAAAAATAACGGTGAAAGTATATGAATGGATCACAAGTTTCCCGTACATACAAAACATAGCTATCTCCACACATGAATCGAGCCATGTGAGCACACTGTAATCACGTGAACATGTGCTCACGCATTGTCTATCTACTGGCTACAGGAACATATAGGATATGGACGCTGCAGTAATATAGCCATGGAATAACCCTAGCCGGGTGATAAATTAGACAAAATCTACATTTTTGAATGAGCTATCACGTGGAAAAATTCTTCTTATAAATGAAAAGTGTTATATAACATATGGCCGGATTGTCATGAATGCGAGTATTTTCTGGGGGTGTGACTAGTGTGTCCCCATTGTCACTCCATGATTTTGTGAGCGTGTCAGCGTAACCCAGTAGAGCTGGTCACACTGTCAATCACTGGATTGTCTGGTCCAGACTAATATTGTCAAGTCGCCGTCTATAGATGGAATAAGGATTATTGTGACGGGTGCTAATGCGCTCGCACGCACGCACACACACATACTAACGCACGAACACACACACACACACACACACACACACACACACACACACACACACCAACGCACGCAGTAGGGCCCTGCATTTCTGACATAGCTTTGACAAATTCCCCACTTGACCTCTTTGATAAACCGATCAGAACGACTTCAAGCTGTATTTCGTTTAACAACAATGCTTCAAGTGATTTGTATCTCTCTGCATGCGTGCCACGTATATTCAATACAGACTCCAGCGAGTATAGTATTGCCGTTTTTGTTACCCATTACTTCGTAGATTATACAGCAGTCATGACAATTATCCCAAGATTGTATGTAGAACAACCTTTTTGCTGTCTCACCATCACATCTACCCCCTCCTAACTGCCATGTAACAATTCATACCTCGTGCAAAACTACGTCCTCACTTTTATCGCCCGTTTGAAAGTGAGTGAAAACTGATTTGTATCTGACTGTATGCGCGTTAGGGACAATCAATACAAGTTAAGCGCATTGGGGGATCCAAGGGAGGGGGGTTCTGTGTACAGGGGGTTCGCCCCCTCCCCCTTTTGAAAATGACCAAAGACCACATTGACGTTAATGTTTTGCATTGGTGGAGCCAAGGGGGGTTCAGGGGTATCGACACCACCACCCCACCCCCTTCCCCCTCTGAACATTCCTGGATCGGCCTATGCAGCGTGGATGATATTAGCGTTTTCGTAACCATCTTCAGACCTAATATTAATCAGTCAATAGAATTATCCCGAGATTGTATAGTCTGTTTGCAGTGAAAACGTACCGATGAATTTCACTTTAAACTAAAAAGAAAATCAAATAAAGTGAAATTGAGATTGCGAATGCTCATAAGTTTACCTTGCCAATTGAATATTTAAATCTCAGTATTTTATTCAACTTAGGATAAAAGTTGTTTAACAAACGATCATAGTTTCAAATCGCTATTATTGGTTTGTATTACAATGGGGGTATGCACATTAATTGAAACACCGAGAACAAGTAGGGTTGGTCTAAGTTAACGCTCATCACGTACCGCACGTGCATTTGTTTCACTGTTCCAACTACTGCACTTACCCCCTTTAAATCTTGATAAAAAGATAAAAACCGCGCGTACCTCAAAAGTTGTGAAATGTGAAGCCAGGAGCTGTTCGAATATTGATTGACATGAAGGGAAGTTGAGTATTGGAAAGATGAAATAAACCATTTCGTCATACAACTTTGTGGAGAGATTTGTGTCACGATGAATCTTTATGCATAGATCTAAATATGAAACAGTTGAGGCGGTCTCACTTGTTTCCTTAATTTCAACTTCATGTGGGTAAATCAGTGAAAGGGAACTGGCTAGTTGATGGTTATTGAACGATATTAGATAATCGATAAACCTGAAGCATAAGTTAAAAGTTCTTGGCCAAATTAACTTGATTTTATTTTGCCAACCCCAGCAGAAAGTTTAATTCAAATGCATAAGGAAACAGATCCAGAGGAGGGGAGCACAATTGGTGACCACAGGGATGCCTACTTCTTCCTACAAAGATGTTATCTGTAGGGATGACTATTGAGGGGAAAACAACTATTGCGATAGCGATAGTCTATTGCGACATACTATTGCGATAGCGATAGTCTATTATGACTAGCTATTGCAATACTATTGCAATAGTCTTTTTTCCTTGAATTATCTCATTTGAAGTCATTTCCCAAATGAATGTATACAACTGTAGTTTATATGAAATAAAAACAAGTTGATGTAGTTTTTTGTCTCTTTTAATAACTGATAAGAAACTTGAAACCCAG